ATTTGTGTATTTGTGTAAGAGTTTGTTTTTGTCACAGTTGCCCACCGGTAGAAACTCCTCTGCATTTGTATGAGTTACTTTCACTCTCAGCTGTTCTCATTAGGCTGAGATGTAAGTCACAAAGGTTAGTCCAAACAACAAATTAATCACCAAACTGATGACCTAACCTTAACAGCAGACATATTTCTCTACACTGTGTGCATTAAAATCCCAGTCTTGCTTCCTCTTCACACTGAAAAAAAAGAGCCACGGTAATTTCAAACTTCTTAAGTCATGCAGAGAAAAGGGTCAAGAGTGGGTAACTTTCTGTTAGATTAGAACATAAAGGATATATCTTTAGACACAGCCAAAGAATACTCGGTTTTCACAGTGAATACATCAAAAAGTGTGTTTGGAATTGTTGTTTTAGTCTAGCTTATATATGCTGAGATATCTAAGGATGAGATATAGAAACTGCTGATTTCAAAATCCGTAAAATCCTATAACGACAATTCAGCCAAGTAACCAATGTATGGAATAAAGCAGTCAAATAATTTAGATTAAATAGAAACTATTTTTTCATCTGTTAAAAGGCTAATGATAAAAAAAGAGCCCAAAGTTGATGACTAACCAAGTAATTAAAATTTTAAATAAAATGAAATCAAATAAGTTGACAAATCAAATGTGTTTTGTGTTATACAACTAAATAGCACACTAAAGAAGTATTACACATGTACATAACATTATACAAGGTTTAAAATTTAAATGCAAAACAGAGTAAACGTTGGGCAAATTCATCACTGGGAATATATTTATTCACAAATTTGCGGTGAGTTAAATACTTTAACTCTTTGAATTGATTTTCCCTGCTGTAACAAATATTGACAACTAAATTGAAAGGGAGCATGTGAATAGTTTCAGTTACTTTCTGTTTTTAGCGGGAAGCAGGGTTGTCTAACAATTTTTCACTTTATCAGTAGATCCTAAAATTGCATTGAACTGCATTCTCTAAGACGTCTTGGATGTAGGATGTTTTATTTGTTTTTTATTAACTGATATTAATGTTTTCAAAATAAATCAAATATTTGTCCAAAAAGTAAAGGGGGTAACCACTGAATAAGGTCTGTCGGAAGAAAAAACTACAAGGCTAAACATCTGCCCTGACTAATAATCTATATACTGGTGTCAAAAGTGTCCTCTTTGCACCAAAAGTTCTTGGGATGCATTCATTTATTAATGTTAAACACAATTCTTATCTGTAGCATTGGGCAGAGGGGTATCTTGGCATTGACGTGTTAAGTGAGAAGTTATTTTTTTAAAATGTCTGAAACATAAGAGTCTATGGTTTCCAGTGAAATATTTGTGGCATTGTTACAGTGATATAATTGAAAAGTAACAAAAGAGATGTAATAATTTCCGGTAAGGCTTTGGAAGTCTTCAGTTCCTCTGACTGAAGTTTGCATTTGGAGCAACTCTAGTGGGACGTAGGTTGAAGGACCGTTAAACGATTTTTTGTTGACTGTTGATTTATTTTTAGTAAACCTGAGCCTAAAAAATATTAAAAACTTAAAAGAAAAAACTAAACTTTGCAGCAATAAATAGCCAAGACAACTTGTAACAGTGTTTCAATCACTGTAATAACCCAATGGATTTGTTTAAGATTTATAAAAACTATATTACAATAGTATAATACCACAAATGTTACCATCCATATGTATTATTTTGATCACAGTGACTATAATCTTCATACTTATCAAAAATCCATTCAAGAGAATAGTTTACATGTTTCTCGAAAAACAAACAAGTAACCTGTCAGTTTCCAGAATATAATTAGATTTCACAGCGGCGTGCAAAGAGGATTTGACTTATTCCCAAAAAGACCACCCCGAGCCAAACCAGTTCAGTCACTTGCTTTCCAATTTAACCTCTGGAGCTGTAAGACTGACAGTAAATCCTTTGCATTAATTCATTGAAGAAAAGAAAAATTGTACGTGGACAATCTAATCGGTACAGTACACACTTGTTAGGATTGGCTTCTGGTATCTGGTCCTTTGGGGCAGAAAGGCAAACACCCTTTTAATCTTAGAAATGACATAAATAACAAACTTTAGCGTTACCTGAAATTCTAAAATAAATACGTTTGGGGCAATAAAGAGGAGCAAGACTTGATCACCGCTGATGGTGTGTCAAATTGGATTGGATACCGTATTATTATTCCAGACCTGGCCAAGTCCATCCCTGATGCAGTGGGGTAAGTGTTTAAAATGGGATTCTTAGCTCAAAAAGTGGTGGAAGCAGAAAGGGTATCCAGCATCTGTTTGCAATATGTAATGATTTGCTATAGCTACTGTATGTCACTGGAAAAAGTAGATGAAAATACATAGATTAAGAGCTTAGTTTTCTACCAAGAATAATATAAAAAGGATAAAGAAAAATTAAATAAATTAAGACAGAACAAGATGCACATACAGTATTTAGTGGATTGCATTTCTGTACTTAGAAATCCATATAAAATGCTAAGGTGATAAAAAATATCTAACAAACAATAACAGTGAAGGTAAATCTATCTTGTCTCTTTGCTGTCTTTGAGATATGGCAATTACTTTTAAAAAGGTTCCCACACTGGAAAGCCCAATGGTATTAATTTAAAACTAATTGAGTAGTCATCCCTTGCACCTAATGCAAAGTAAGCTCCCTGCAGAATGTGAAGATAAGTTAAATATGGCGCATTGGTCCTAAAACCATAGAAACTGTGACTTTAAGCCAACAGTGATTACAGTAGCTCTGTGTGTTGTATTGATCTTATGTGAGACTGACAACAATGCCTTTGTGAATGCTAACGCTTCTCTTAGTTTGCAACTGATGATAGAGAATGATCTTAGTTCTATATAAATCACATTAGGGCCCAGAAAGCAAAATATTGACTGATAACAGGAACAATTGATGAACAATCAGTTCGCTTCTCCCGGCTCAGAAGTTGCACAGTAAAAAGATAAGGAATTATTTTGAAAAAGCCTCCCATAATTGTGTTTAATGTTTAATGCATTTATCAATTTACTTGTTCTTTTAGTGCATTCATTTCCATTGCTCCAACCCTTAAGTACAAGATTAATGCCTAAAAAGTGTAAGCTTTAGAATTTGTACTGTTGCCCAAAAACTAAATCTCATCTTCTCCCTCAGTTTTTTTTACTTGTTGGCTGATTAAATCCAAAATGATTTAAAACCTTTGGATTCCTTTCAATATTAATATCAATTTAAGTCACTTGCTGAAATGTTGCCCCCAGTGCAACACTATGAATAAGTTCAACAACTAGTTTTATCAAATTCAACTTCAAGACAGCTGGAGGCAAACAAAGTAGATGAAGTTGTGTATGAATCAAATGCTGGCAGGGATCTATATTAGTGTAACGGTTTCTAAAGAACAAAAAACAATGTTTTCAATATATATTTATATTCCACTTTAGAAAGGGCAAAAGCAGTGTAAACTTGCATGTGTGACTCATTTTCAACGGGAAAACAGAGGGGAGTCGCTCTTCTCCCCCAGACTGCAGGTATGGCTTGCTGCTGACTCTGACTACCTATCAATGTTTTGGAGGAGCTTTCAGCAACAATCACTGTTCTGTTTGGTGAAGACAGTAAAGTCAGAGCAATTAGTGCCTTCAAGTCATCACCAAAGTCTCCTAAACCACAGAAAACAGTTGTTTCTCTGAACTAGTCTGACCACCCTGCCAGTGTTTTGAAGGAAGGAGGGGCTGAGTCAGTCAGTCACTCACAGTAAACTTAGAGCAATCAGTGCTTTCATGTTGTCACCAAAGACTCCCAACAGCACGGGGAAAAAATGCCACATTTTTGGTTAAAAAAAGTAACTTAAGGGTTCTGAAATGTTGCTAAATATAGTGATAAAATTCCTAACATGGCAACAGAGAATGGGTGAATCATTTTTGGTGTAAACAACATAGGGTAGTGTGAGATTAAATTGTATAATTTATGGTGGTGATGCTTATGTTATGGCCCCTGATGTGAAAATATAATGCTAAATGAAATTCTTATGATGACATGCACCGGGACAGAAACTCAAAGGATTGGTCCCTTGACTTTTTTTCTCCAAACTTTTCTGTTTGCTTGCTACAGTCCTGGTACTGTAAATTTGGTCAGGAACTGACACTGATTATGTCATTGTAGTCATACCAGGTAAGTTGGTCTCCAATTTTCTTAAATTTAGACACTTGTGTTAAAACTGACTTTAAAGTGGAATTCAAACCTTGCTCCTCTTTTTCTTAAACACGTGTGTGGGTTTGTTGGTGTGTGTGTGTGTGTATACAGTATCTGATCAAATGTTATGAAATAAATAATTAAAACCTTACCTCCTAAGGGCACTTTGGTCCGAAGCAAGCTACCAATTTGTCAGAATTGTCAAACACAGGTGGACTTTTTTTCTTCTTCAAACTTCATTCAGCTTAAATCAGAAAAAGTAACCCTTAAATCAGTTATTAAACCAACATTTACTGTGTATTGCAGAGAGCATTTTGGTGCAGGCTGGCCTTGATATAATACAGCCACAGCAAGAAAACCGTTAGACCTTTTTTCACATCCCTTTAGCAGTAGGATGTTCACAGGAAACCTTTAACCTGCTCTCAATCTGCTTCTTTTCCAAAATGTGATTACTTGGCTATTTAGCACACAAGCTTACACCTGCACTTTCTGCTCACACAGCTTACCGTAAAGTAATTTTAGTATGACTCAGCCTATTGAAATGTAAATGTACACAAGGAAATGAGGCAAAATGCCTGTACATTTTTTTAGACTATTTGCTCACAACATCTAAAAATTCAAAATGAGCAAAACTCTAATCTTTCTGAAGTTCTCACAAACCTTTCCAGGTTGATTCCTCGTGTCTATTATCAAACTCTTTTGCTCTTATACTGAGCATGAGATAAATAATGACTCAGCTCCCACTTCCCTCAGCAATTAAAAGGGGATTTTGCACATTAAAACCCACAGCCCGTATGTACAGACCATTGGGTGTTTAACATCAATAACATTTTGCTCAACAAACAGTATCCCTGACCTGCTGTTACACTGGCTAATTGCCAGGGAGAACAATAAGGATGATAATGATAAGTATGATTTAATGTTTCTCCCCAAAGGCCTGTATACAAAAAGACCTTTTACAAAAAAAAACTTCTACCACTCTAATTTATCTTTTCATAGCAGCCCACGTAGAAGTAGTGCAGCTGAATTGCTGTCCTTTAAATCAATATTTGAAGGAATTAGGAAAAAAAGGGCTCAAGTAATAATCACGCTGCTTCTACTAAGATAGTTGAGCTACATTGTACCAGTAATGAGGTAGAAGATGTGTATCACCACTTTAACTTTGCTGATTAGAATGGACTTACATGTCTTTAAAGCCTGCAAGGACCAAAGTGCCCAGCATGAGGTCATCAGGTGACCAGATTACTGAGAGTTGTGGTGACAAACACCAGCCTCGTGTGCAACCATTAAAAATGTCTATGTACTGTCACCAAATACATGTTTAAAAAAAAAAATCACCTACAGATATGTCAACTCTGGGTCTTTTGGATGAAAACCCAAGTCACAAGACCCCGCTGCAGAAGGCTTTATCCCACCCCAGCATTAGTCTGCTGTTGCTCTTCAACTTAAAATCTCCCAAGAAATATTAGAGTTTTTTTTTCAACTCACATCTTTTGCTGGGCAGAAACACCCTTCCAATAATCCAAAATATCATGAAGATCCTCATCCTTGGCAAACTGCACCTTCTTACGTAAGGCATGTCCTGCTGCTATGTAGGAGGCCTCCTCACGTGGGTTTTTTTTGTATGGTCGAAAACGCTCCCAGATGCGTAGAGTGCTCTCAGATGTGTACTCTGGACTCGAGGAGTACCCAGAGTTGTAACTATGGTGACGAGAAGGAGACAGCTGGGAGTAGGTAGCTGTTGCATCCCTCTTTGTGCGCCCCAGTGGCTTTAGGAATGAGGCCTTTTGGGCAGGTGAGTCATTGCTATCCTCATAGTAGAGTGCAGGAAAGGAGTGTCGGTGCTCTGAGCTGTGGTAGTCTGGCTGAACCTCCAAGTGATGCTGCTGCTGTCCAGGCCCAGAGGCCCCGCATCCACTTCCATTCCCATTATTGCACCCTATACCACCACCATTTAAACTCACTCCACCACCATTTATATTTCCCTTTCCATTTCCACCACAGCCTCCTACACCACCAGGTCCCCCATTTCCACCCATCCCACCACAAACAGCAGGATTCCCCTTCTCTGTTGGATACTTGGGTGGGTCATTTCGCTGTTCCGGTACTTCTACATTGTACACTCTTGTATTCTTGACAGGTACAGCAGCAGGAGCACCACAACGGTTCTTTACTACAGCAGTGTCAGCACTGTGCTGCCTCTGAAGGGGCCGTACTGCATTAGCTGGGGGTGGGTCACGGTAAGGAGGGGAAAGAAACCCACCTCCACTGATGCCAGGCCGCTCCGACAGAGGCATGACTAGGGGAACCGGGGCCATTGAAGGGGGATGCGGCTGCTGATGTAGCTGTGGGTGAGGCTGAGGATGGGACTGAGGTTGTGGCTGAGGATGAGGGTGTGGCTGAGACTTTGGGTGTACCTTTGGAGAAGAGGCCATGATCTGATCTCCAGTAGACACAGTAGAGAGAGGCAAAAGATTGCGGGGAAGGGGGGCCATGCAAGGAGGCTGGGAGGAAGACAGAGAGTTACCATCATCAGCTGTCGTCACAGTATTGGCAGAGGCATCCAGCTTAAGGGCATCAATACAATTGTTGATGATCTGATTCACTTTGTCCACCTCTTTAGCGATAGTGGAAATTTCTGATGCTGAGCCGTGACCATCGTCATCCGAATCTTCCCCAGCCCCTGTTCCATTTTCAGCTACACCACGCATATCAACAACTACTTCTCCTCCAATTCCCCCAGCAATCACTACGCCATCTCTGCTGTCGCCAGCGATTCCTGTTGTCCTAACATCCATGTAGTTACTCTTGCTGCATGTTGCTTCAGAGAAGGCAGAGGCCATTTTTTCCCCCTGGGGCAAAGTTAGGCGAGAAGAACTTGTGTTTGCTGATCCATGCAGCATCCCTGTGCTAGAAGAAGTTGATGGTGGAGGCTTGCCTCCAGCTCCTCCTGAATGGTGGTGGTGGGACTGCTCCTGAAGACGCTGGATAGCACCTGGGTCATTGGCAACAGCTGCAGCTGCTTCAGAGCCATACCTAAAGAAGCAAATATTTGCTTTAGAAATGCATTTTATTTATTTATTTTTTTTTGCATTTTAGTAAAATACAATGACATAAACATTTTCTCCCTTTTAATGGAAGCCGTAAGAAATCAGGCAAAAATAATATGGCCTTAAGCCTTATATGTTTGGAAAATTCACTATAATTATAACTGAAATTTATTGATCTCACATTGGAGAAATTTCTGAATTCCAAGCGCAATGCCTTAACCACAAGGCCACCACTCCCATTGAAAGTGCCTACATTTAACCCATCCCCTTGGGGAGCAGCGGGCTGGAATCTTGGGGCACCCAGGGAGCAGTGTGGGGTTAAGGGTCTGACTCAGAGACCCAGAGTGGCAGGCTGTGGGAGTGGATTCCAAGCTCAGGATTCCAAGCTCTATGCCCTAACTACTAGGCCGCCACTACCCCAAGTAATAGTTCAAGACTTGTTTAGTTTTACATAATGAAAAAAAAAGGCAAAAAACAAGTTGCCCTTGGACCCTAACTTATTATCAAGATGTTAATTATTTTTAGAACCAAAATAAAAAAAAAATCAAACAAAACAAAAAAGGTATGTAGCCCCAAAAAACTAGAATTATCTAAATCAGGGGTGCTCAAGTCCAGTCCTCAAGAGCTCCTGCAACTTTTTTAACACACCTGAATCAAATGAGTGGCTCGTTACCGTGCCTCTGCTGAGCTACATGAGGGGATTGAGCGTTTTGATTAAGCTGGTTAGAGAAGAGATGTATCTAAGAGTAACAGGATGGTAGCTCTTGAGGACTGGACTTGAGCACCCCTGATCTACATATTAAAAATAAATTCCCCCACCTCATCTCCAGGATTGTTTTTTTCACGCTTATAGCCTTTTCCTTTTCTTCTTGGATGCGTCGCCTCCTGAGGCAGTAGTAGACAAGTCCAAGCACAATCACCATACCAAAGAGACATCCCAAGATGGTCATAATGTAGTGAGTAGTTGTGGAAGGATTGGAACGGAGGTCCTCTGGGCCAATAGCTCTTGTAGTGAAAGACAGGCAAGTATGATTGTAGCGTTGCAATTTACTTGCAGAAGCCACACAGTAAGTGTAATTAGTGTGTGGTTTCAGCTTATCTATAGGAATCTTCTCCTTTTTCTTTGTAAGGGGCATTATGTCTGTAGGGAAGGTATCATTATATTGGGAGAGGATGAACATCTTACTATATGGCTTTGGAATCTGCACAAACAGTGATGCAGTGGACAGGGAGACTGATTCAAGTTTAATGGAAATCTGAGAAACATAGTTGGGATCAGCTGTAGATGTTGTGGTTGGCTGAGGGTATAGACCCAGATCGGAACCGTCTAAATCCATTCCTGACCCATCTGGATCTGGCATCTGGGAGGTCATTCCGGGAATAATTACGCCATCACGACAGACAGATAAAAGGATGTACCGGGCATTTCTTCCATGCCCAGGGACTGGACCCAGGAGTGGGTAACCTGTCAGTTCTGTTGGAGTTTCACATTGGAGGCGGTCATAAGTGTGGGTTACATTGTTGAACTCCTCTAGCCATGTCAAAAAATTGTAGAGCTCACAGCCACAATGGAATGGGTTTCCTGCAAGCTCACAAACCATTAGCCTGTTGAGGACAGTAAAGGTAGATGGGTCAAGACGGGCCAACTTATTTAAAGATAAATCCAGGCTGCTAAGGTTAGGACACTCCCAGAAGGCATTGTTGGCAATGACCTCAATGAGGTTGTGCTGTAAAAAGAGGCACTGCAATCGCCCTAGGCCTCTCAACATTCCCTCAGTCAAATTGGTCAGTTTGTTGTAACCCAGCTGTAGAACCTGACAAGGAAAGACAGAGTACGTTCTTCAAACATTTCATAAAATAATGAGAAAACATACTCAAGGATTTAATTCTTTCAAAATGAACTGTAAATAACACTTGGCTATCTGCTAAAAATGGGGTAAGTCATTCTGAGATCTTTCTTCTCTTGTATACTGTTTGCTACAGACATAACAAGGAGCACATTTATGGTAAGGTTGAAGATTATATTTTTCCATAAGCCACCCATCTGCTCAAATCAGAATAACCCTGATTCTGGTGTGTCTCAGAACTCACTCTGTTTTAAAATATGACACATAGTTGCTATAAGTGCAACACTATGCCCATGCAATAAATACCAATATGATTTTAATGTATTTTCAACCTCTTATATTATTAAATAAATTGGACACTTTTACCTTGTGTTTTTATTTTCTTGTACTTTTTTGCTTATGGTAACAGGTGTGTAAATCTGGCTAGCCTAGTAAACTAGCACCCGCCAGCAGCCAAAATAATTTTTGCCTGCGAGTTAGTCTAGCCTCGATCAATGCTCCAGGCCCTAAATCTGGCAGGCCACTCACAATGCAGAGATGTGTTTTGAATGTCTGAATGCAAAGCGGGCGGGGATTGAGGGCATGACGACATCGCTGCACGACGCTGGAGAAAGGACAACACTAGCATGCACTGCGGCAGCAGCAGCTTTCAATAGAGCGCTCCATTGAAAGTTAAAAGTTCTCTTTCTGTTGCTGTTATTCAATAAAAGTAAATTTTGAGGCAAGAATATTCTACTTTAAAGCGTCACTATATGGTCCATTTACTGATTTAATGCGCAACTATAAAAATAAATTCCGAAGTTAAGAGGACCGTGGCCATCAGCGGAGCCCTGAGGCTAATGGCAGCCAGGCTAATGGCAGCCCGTCTGCTGCGGCCCTCTCTCGGCATAGCCGTGTGTGAATGACTGCTGCCGATTTTTGACTCAGCTTTGGAATCAGTTTTGGAAGGATTATTTGAAACGTAAGCAGGAAGAGGTTCTACGCTCATTCATTTTTAGGAAGGATGTATCCGCCGTTTTACCCACAGGCTGTTTGTTTACACAGCCCCACCAGCTTCCTGTTGCGCTTCCTATGTCACAGTCAGATGCACTCATTGGTTAGAGTGTTGGCCAATAGGCACAGACATGGTTTGAAAAACAACAGATTGTTCTCATCAACAATCTTACAATGTCTCATTTATCTGGGCCAGACTAAATAACACCTTTCATCTCCCATTTAGTCTGGATTATCAGGCTAATATCTGGCATGTTATAACCCAAATATTAGCTTATTTTAAGATATATAGAATATTTTTTCACGTCCATATACAGCACTTGGCATGTACTGATGACCAGGGCTGCCCTTCTCAAAACCAGTCGAAGTAACGTGAGGGGGTTGGATCCATCAGTGAATGAGTCATATGACCAACGGCGTGGCTTTAAGGCAGTCTAAGTTCCCCAAACATATTTTTACTATGCTTATTTAGGATTTCATCTTAAGTGGTGAGTGTGAGCTTGTCTTTACATGTAACCTCATGATCTCTCAAGCTACTGGTCCAAAGTGATCTGCTATCAGATTCCAAAAACACAGAGGGTGAAGGTTTAACTTTGTGACAGTGAAGTGTTGCCACTTACTATCAAGGGTACTAAAAATTTTAAGTTATAGGTCTAGTGACTCTAGTGGCTAAATGTTACTTTTGCTTTAATATAGAATGTATAGGTTTAATTTGCTTAGAAAAACACTGCTTACTGCATAGTTTGCTCTACATCTAACAGCATCCAACGCATAATAAAAGCATAATATAAACTCAGATGAAATGATAAAAGCTGTTTTTTGCCAACTTTTAATATCAAAAACTTTAAATAAAGTGAGACAAACAATCAGAAAAACAAAGTTCAATTTATTGCTACTGTACCAACCTGAAGGTTAGCTTGTCCAGTAAAGGCTCCATCTTCAATGTAGCTTATCTCATTCTTCGTAAGGTTGAGATCAGTAAGGTTTGTGAAGCGGTACATGGAGGTAAATAGCACTGCTTTGAGTTTGTTTTCATTCAACCTCAAGTCATGAACCTGAAGGTAACAAGAAAAAATAATAAAGATGAACTTTCTCTATCGAAAGTAAAATAAATAAATAAATAAATATTTAAGAAAAGTAGAATTTTGTCTTCTAAATTACTGTATTTTTTTTTCATTCACTGTAATTAAAACCAGGAATTTTTTTCAGTTGCTGATTCAAAGCACTCAAATGCATCTAAAGAGCCTGAGCAGAGGTAATTTCTATTCACAAAGAGGTTAAAATTTATAATCACATATTTTAACATGACTTTATTTTCTTAACAAATCCATTTTGTGAGATTCTTTCTAAAAGTAAACAGTTAGAATTATTTTTTTGGGGGTGTACAAGATGCTAAAAACATGTATTGACATCTATTGGAGTCTGAAGAATTTGTGATTCAACAGGGTGAGTTAATATTCTAAAGTAAATAAAACTGTCACTGTTTAGGATTTCCCTATATAGAAAAACTCAATCACTTCTCCATTTTAAATCACAAGTCAAAACTCATCTGTTTCCTTCCCTTACCTTCCGTGTCCTAGCCTTTTTATTTTTTAAGTGGTTTTTATTCTGTGTTTTGATGTTGTTTCTGCCATCGTGTTTTTATCTTTCATACGTTGACCTTGGGTGTCAAGAAAAACGCCTTAGAAATATAAGTTTTATTATTATCATATTTACAGACACAAACATACTTTTATTCAGCTAATATATAAAGTTACATTGCAGCACAATGATCTCAAGCAAATCTGAAAAATAGACTGCGTTGTCCTAGATTTTGTAAGGATCAACTCAAAATCTAAACCAGAAGTTTTTTAACTTAATTATCAAAAAATAAATCAGACTTTTTTAAGGTTACATGTCTTAAAAATGTAAAAATAATTCTTGTTAATATGTTGGTTTACAGGTAACGATTGAAAGACAATTTACACCCATACTGTAAATGCTATCAAGTGCTTGCCAGATTAGGATGATTTGAATTTTGATAATAAGGAAAATTTCACACTCTAATTTCATAAGATATATAGCATTATATATGACATGTGTGATAACAGTTTGATGCCTGAGTGGAAAATGTGCATTTGATTTCACAAAAGAACAATAAAAATAAAGAAAATATACATCTAATTAAAAGTGTTGATATTAGAGTGCATATAACAAATATATTAAGCCCCCTATGGTATGAAAAGGCACACTGTTAATACAGTGTGTTACCTTTGTCCTTTAAAAATTCAGTTTTTATTTCCAATAATAAAATTCTTTAATGAAAGTAAATTCTGAACCTTTTATATCTCTATTACAAGCTATATACGTAATAGTGCTGTTATTCACTTAAAACACTCACCAGCATATTATCTTTAGACAGCCTTTTCTCAAACAACTGATATTTTGTCGCCCTAGGAGTTACAGGACAGGCCTTGCCTTTCTTGAAAATGTGAAAAACCTTTTTTATTTAAAGGATTCTTTGCATCTGGGTTTGCTGAAAGTCTTGGCTGCTTTAATTTGAGAATCAGCTAACCACATGTTAACTTATAGAGTTGAAAATGATTCCTTTAATTACCACAACTATTTATCATTTAATTCTAGTCAATATAATTACACATAGTTTTTTCTTAGTGAGTTTAATTCTATACCATGCTTTTTGGCAATAAATGGCACACTTTTCATATTTTTCCAAACAATTCAGCGCCAATTCACAAGCAAGCATTAAAGGTGTGACATTTCCAAGTTGCCACATGAGGTTAAGTGGATGTGTAGATTAAACTTCAACACTGTCAAAGTAACAAAAACTAGAAGCTATTTTCAAGCTCACTCTATCATAAATTGAACTGCATGTACATATATTGTTTAATATGGATGGCTGCAGGTGTAAGAAGTTCACTGATAACCTCGTACTAACCGTGCTGTTGACGTGCGGGGGAATGGTCTCAAACGGAGGTTGGTTCTGACTGCAGATAGCCAACCAAACGTAACCTTTATCCCCCTCTATCAGCCAGCAGTCCCCTTTCACCATAACAGGCAGGCGTAGGAGCAACAGTGCAGGAAGGAGGAGGGAAAGATGCAGGGATGGAAACAGGAAGGACAAACGTTGTCTAGCAGCCATGGTTTGAATTCAGAGCGTTGGATGTCACCTTAGGTGAATGGAGAGGGGGGATATTGGAGCTGACAGGGGAAAGGAAGAGAGCAGTAGTTCAAATTTAAAATGGGAAGGGGTGCAGATAGGGGCAAGAAGGCCAGGCTAAGAAAAATTTAAACGGCAGAGGAGGATGTCTTCTTGATAATTAACGCTTAAGCTGAAGTATTGAAGTTAGTTGTGTTTCCATTTTAGGTGTTCCATGTCAAAAGATTTTGAAGGCTGTATCCCCAGCAGCAGCTCATGGCCCTTGATGATGATACGTCTTGATAGGACAGATCAGGCAGTAGTCCCTCTAAGAGAAAGTTTCTTTGTCTACAACAGAAAGAGAAAAAAAGAATAGATCTAATTATTGATTGAGTTATTTTAAAAAAACATTGTTAAATACTTTTGATTGCTAAATCACTTAGTGATGGCACAATAGTAATGAATTTATATTTTCTTGAAGTTTTGATTATGCATTGCTAAGTGTGTTTTTTGAGTTATTCTTATTTTTGATCCTCACACTGAAATAGAAATTATATATATATATATATATATATATATATATATATATATATATATATATATATATATATATATATATATATATATATATATATATATATACTTAATTATTGCCATGTGCAATTCAGTTGGAACTATGTTTTATGTCAACTTAAACAATATAAGCTAAATAAGTACAGTTAAAAAAAAAATGGAAACACAGATGTGTTAAACTGAACACATATAAGAGCTGCTGTAATTTGCATGTTTAACAGGATACTAGCTGACATTTAGCTATTTACCTTTCCCAGGGGATTAACTGTGGATCAGGGTCTAATCCAGCGTAAAATATTATGTATCTCATCACTGCAGCATCCAGTATTTTAATTTGCTACCAGAGTTTTGTTTTCTTTCCAAGAAAAAGAAAGAATGCCTCAAAGACATTAATGAAAGTGACTTTATATTTAAAATGTCAAATGAAATGACTTTTTCCAGTGCAAACTCTTATTTAGGTTGCTTTAAGTATCATTTTCTCTTAAAACAGGGAGAATTTGAAAGCTTTGCCAAACAATGCACAATAAGTTTGAAAGAAAAGGAATGATGAGGCAAACAATAGTCAGTTCAGTTATCAAATGTGTGTTAGCAAATGTGAGTAATCCTGTTGATATTTGATTTAGCACTAATCGATGAGAGGCAAACACTTTAAATCATCAAAACCAGTTAGCCTTCAGCAAGGCCTATATTGTGTAACATGATTTTACAACAGAAAATTGTCTTCAGAGAACATAATAATAATTAAAAAAAAACTATTGTTAGGATGTATTAATTGCAGACACTGTGCTTTAGTACGTTTTGCATACTGTAGCACTTTAAAAAATGAGCCAAGGTTATCAGATACAAACGAAACGAACACTGCCCTTTGTTTTCCCTTTGAAAACAAGCAGATTTCCATTTAATCCCTGTGCAAACTGACCTGGACTGGGCCAGTGTAAAGTCTTGCGAAGAAGACTGGCACAGTTACTACTCCCATATTTACTCAAAGGGTCAAAGATGTCAGCATAATTAACTTTTTAAGTTTTTAAGAAAAAAACTAAAAAAAAAAAACTCACTCAGCTTGATTGAAAAAAGACTTTTACCAGAATTAGGGATGTTTAAACTATTCTGGTGGCTGATTCTGGTGGTGCTGGTGGCAATACCAAACAATCAAGTGTCACTGGTTCTGTCAGCACCCTAATGAATTAACAGCTCTTATCATTATTTTTATAGCTATGCTATACAGTTGTTAAAATGTTGTGCAATAAAACAGCACTTAATCATTTGCTGTCTATTCAGCTGTGAGGCTGACTAATTTCACAATTTAGAAGCAGCATATGGAGAAAAGTTAGGATATGAGGAATATAAAGAGCAGCTAGTGACACTTGAAACATTTTTGAAAGAACCTAGAGAAGCAACTTTTATTCTCATTTTTTTCCTTTTACATACTCTCTAAATCATAACTAAGTACTAAATACAAATGTATATCACACATGAAGTTTTAATAAGAAATATAAACTAAAGACTAAAGAAGGGCCCAGTGTGACAAGTATTGCAAATGTTATTTAAAAAAAGACAAGTCATGGTTACTAGTTACTTCTTCAAAACAGTACATATGTTAGTAATTCAGCTACTGCACAAAGTAACTAATTACTAGTGAAAGTAACTTTCTTGTTAACAGAACTTTAAATTTAACTGAAAATTCAGTTATAAAATACATGTATAAGATTTTGATATTAATTAATAGAAAAATTAACAAGGATGAAAACATTGCATGCCAATTTGCATGGTTTAGGCCAAAAAAACAGATTAGAACCTTTAAGACTCTATATTTTAGCCCTTTGTGTGGCTTACCTGACTATAAAATCGGTATAAAATGGAAAAATAATGCTTTAAAGTAATTTATGAAAAAACTAAGAATACTTTGCCATTGATTTAAACAACGGTCACACTGTTCCAATAAACAACACAACAGTATTTTTGTCTAAAAAAAATAGTACACTTTTCAATTGAATAACACATGCACCATGTGGACAGCCTGCTTTCAGTCAGTGATAAAATGATGTGAGGAGTTTCTTTAGTTAAAGATAATTCTAACCAACGTATATTAAGTCATTGTTCCCGCTAATGGGCAAATTACAGAAACAGTTGACCTTAGATATAAGTGAGTTTCTTTAGGGACACTGTCCTAAATGGCGCTGGACAATTGTTTGTCCTCTGAGTCAATGTTCATGGCATGCTGAACATCTGCTCACATTGAGGCTCCTCAGCCAATCGGCATCACATATGCCTATCTCAGCTCCCTGCTATGTCCCTGCAGTAAAAGCCTCTTCCACAGCATAGTGCATTTAGAAAAAGTCAATTTAGTTGATTGAGTCGAAGAAACAAGCTGCATTAGTTTCCAAGTAACGTAACGGCATTACAAATATGTGAAGAGTAATTATTTAGAGTTTTTTTTTTCTTTTTTTTGTGAAAAGATAACCTAGTAACTAATGCTATCATTATGTAGTGTTGTTACTCCTAATACTGGGAACCACTGCAATATACAATTGATGATTGTTTATTGAATGAATGATTGGCAGTGGCTGTAACTTCAATTATCACAGATTTTATTTTGGATAATTTTGATAATCAGTCTGCCGACCTGAAGCAGAAGCCCTTGAATCACAGCAGAGAAGAATTTCCAGGAGTGGGTGCAAAACCATCTGTTTGGGCAGCAGAACATCAAATGTGTGATATAAAAATATTCAAAGACATTACAACTTGGCTGTATGTAACACGTGGGATGAGATTATCTTCAGCAAAGCCCAGAGCATGGCTAAAATGAAGGTTCCCATATTTCCTGCATTCATAGTACACCTTCTGGAGGGAGTGTGGAGCCTTTTGTATCCTTTCTTCCTATTATATTATTTCTAACAGATACCATATTGTTTCTTACGCATTCTTGATAGCATAAGAAATCTCTTTAACATAGATCTGAGAGACTAATAACCTACTGTACTTTCTGAGCAAATGAGTGTAAAATCTCAAAGTTCCTCATTCAACAAAAGTAAAACATTACCACTTCCACACCATGTTGAGTTGAACTGAGTTGAAGTTAGCAATGCTTGGGCTATCCTGTAGGAATACCTTCCTTATCACGCTTGTTATGCTGCTTTTTCCTCCAGCTCCAAAATTTATCCTAGCAGAAGAACAGAGTAAGAGTGAAGGAATTCAGAAGATTTAACTGAAGTTCATAGGTTTGACATTTATATACTAGTTGAAATTAACATGGGATCATTTATACTGTAGTAATGTTTACACAAAGTTAAAAGTCCAATGAATTACATTTGCTTGACAAGTTGAGACTATTTAATTCAGCCAGAACTGTAGTTAGCCAGCTAATTTAAAACATTAAAACTTTTATTCTTCCTCTTAGAAGAATTTAAGGATTGATAGGAACTTAATTGAAAATAAGGAATCAGAATCTGAACCAAAATTGTTAAATTTCAAATGATGCCTAACCCTTACATTTACTAGCTCTTAATACATAAAAGACAAGTCAGTCATGACTCACTTAAAAGAATGCTGTTTACTGTTCGGTCCTGTCAGAAAAGCTTTGATCAGCACAGTTTTATGATTGTGTAATAATCCTGACCGTACCCTGCCCATTTTATCTTATCATCTAGGTGGCTCTGCTGTCAGTCACTCCAGTTATCTGCTTCTGTATTTCATTTTATCTAACAGCCTGTCTTCGTATTTCTTCCTTTTTTGTACTTCTCTTTATCTTTATTGTCTTCAGTCTGCTTATCTCTCCTACCTTTCAAACAGAAACACAAATGAATATGCTTTATCAACAAAATGGATCCCTGTGTGGCTTTGTGTTCAAAAACATGGCCGCTGCATTCATCTAATGCATATATTGTATAGAAACCAATAGAATGTCCTATTTTTTGTTTCATGCTATGACTAATATCATTCTTTTACTCTGTTGTATTGTCATGTTTGATAACTGAAATTTTATTAAAACATTGTACCTGACACAAGCACTAATCATGCCATGTCACAAAGCAAATGGACTCTACTGAACCAGAACTACCAGGTGTTATCAAAATGAAAGGGTTAGTCTGGGATTTTCCAGAAGTGATGTTGAGTGGACAGCTTACAGCATGACAACTGTAATTTAGATCCTGCTTTTGGACCTACTTTATTTCACATATTCCAGTAACTTCCAGGTGTGTAAAAGGACATATGTTGAAGTAATTATTTGTTACAAAGAAGCTCTCATAGTGAATGTGTTTATGTGGTTTGTGCGTGCTAAGCATAAAGTGGCTATATCTAACTGGAAGATATTAGAGGTTTTATATAGCTCAAATACAAAGCAGTACATGGAAAACAAAAACAGCTATTCTATATATGTATTGAATAAATGCTGTTTTCAGATTGTTAAGTTAATATAAATGTTATAAGTTCATTTGGGTCAGCTGTGTGAATATAGCCTATTGTAGTTAAGTAGACTCTGCTTTACACTTTTCCACAACCTTTTTCTTGACCTTTCCTGAGTTATTATGGTTTTAATGTTACTGATTGTTCACTAATTATTCTAAACAACCTCTGAGACCTTTGCAGAACAGGTATGTTAATGTTAATACACAGTTACACTGAAAGAATCATTTAACTAATTACAGGATTTCTTGAAACATGTAATTTCGTGTAGGGAAATCAGATATTACAGGGGTTGATACCAATATATGTCACTATTCAGTTTTTTACTATTTCAAGAAATTAATCAAAATACTTTGTACTTGTCACATTGA